AAAAGTCAAAATCCATACAGTGCTCCAAATGTTACAGTGCAAAAAAGACTTTTGTTCATATGAACTCACCATTTGGTTTGTAGGCTCCATAAGCAATGAGTAGGCAGGACAATCCAAAGCAGGTGCTGAAAATATATGATTGTGTCACACTTCTGATAACAAGCTAACTAAAGCTGTTTTTTTTAAAACTCTATTTATGACTACATGTGTATTTTTCTCCATATGTTACATCACAGTAAGTCTGGATAATTTCTTCCCTTCTTTGCTTACCTTCCCAGCAGTCTCAGTTTGCGAGGCCCATATTTATCCATGACAATCCCCAATGGCAGCGTGATGGCTGAGAGGAGGAAGGAGCCCACTGTGAAAGCCAAGTTCAGCATCTCATCCTGTTCTTTACAGATCAGCCAGCCGTTCATCTTCAGGGGCCCATCCATAGGGACCAGGGGCCTCATCTCGACACCGTCTCCCAAACCCACCACACCAGCCTCACTTTCATAGTCATAAGTGTACTCATCAGACGCCTGTGCTGAATGAGACTGGGACAGATTGTAGTTGGAGCTGTTCCCTAAGGACCCAGATAAAAGTTGGTAGAATATAAGAAGTTTTATAGGAATTATGCAAGTGGAAGATATTCAATAAGTTTGGATGTTTCAGGCTGACTTAATGTGCCCTTTTCACTTAGAAGGTTTTTTTTATAATGCTGCAAAAAAACAAACACCACCCAACTAAGATGCAATGTTGTGGATAATCAGGATTTTTTTTAGGTTCTCTTCTGTGGCTGAAGAATATAGTTTACTTATATCTCTAATACATCAATACATACCAATAAAATGTGCACAGCCAGTTAGATTAATTGTGAACCTCAGCATAAAATAAAAAAGTGCCCCTAAAGATTATAATATGGAATGCAATTTGGATTTTATTGCTACTTTGGAATGATATGAACAAAACGTGATAAGCTAGCACTTGCAATAAACTTCACATCATTATCAGGACCTGCAAGGAGATAATGTGAACAAGTGCAAAAGTCCAGAAGACGTCCAGGTGATGAAGTGAGGGGAGCTGCAGCTTTGGACCTTCTTAGCATTAGCTTTCCAGATCACGCTCTTCCAGTGCTATCAGCCACCAGTTATCTCTGGGAGGAAAACGTGTGTGTGTGGCATCCCAACGTGACACTGTGACACACTTCATGACCAAGTGCCAAAGTCTTACCCAAGAAGACAGATCAGCATCTCATACCCTTTGAATCACTGGGACACAATGCTGATGGGAGCAGCTGAATGGCAAACTATATTGCTGAACGTGCAGTTAATACCCAACACTGTGTCCCTGTAGCATGTATAGCAAAATGTTTGACTGGGAATCCTGGTGCAAAATGACTTACAAAGGCTAGAAAAGGCATTAAGATGTTGGCACCAAGCTAACGCTGAAACCTGCACTAACACTGCACACAAAACGAGAAAAGGCAGCTTATAAATGCATCGATATCTTTTGCTTTATTTCATTTGAAGTGATCTGGTATTTCATAATTAAAATTCATAAAATGTTTATTACGAAACACAAAGCACAAAGTGCAGTCTATATATTTTAAATGCCAAATATGTGCTTCTTGTGCCGGTCTATGCTGGACCATTATCTTTCCATTTCGCCATTCTCTTTTTTACTGTTTCCTGGTTTGATTTCTACTGCTCATCACTTTAGCTATCTCACCCTCACTGCCCTTTGTCACTGAACTTTAAACTCACTTATTACCAGCTATAAATGCTTCCTGCTGATTCCTCAATCACGTCACATGTTTGAAAAAAGCTGAGCTGGTGCTTGCTGCTGTTCTCCTTTTTTTTTCTTCTCTTATGTCATCAGAACAAGATAAGATGACTGTGGCAGTTCTCCAGGAAGTTATTGCTCAACTTTTACTTGACTGGTGAGTGTGCTCAGCTTCACGGCTAAAACATTTGCACTACCCTATAAAATGTTGTTCCTTTGCAGGTAAATAGAAATAAAAATAAGTTTTTATTGCTGAATGTTAATATTAGCCACTGGTGCAGAGGTGAGTAAAACATCCTCCTGCATGTTATAAATGCTCCAGGACTTAGTGTGGATACTAACGTGTTTACCTCTTTCAGGCCATGGGACGCCACACAGTATCACCTGGGGTCCTCCTTTACGTTCCCCTTGTTTATTCTCTTTTAAAAGACCACACCGGGGTCACTTAGGCTGAGTGCATCAATCAAACCTTTGTTCTTAACGACACAAAGTACCTGGTGTAACTTTTGTCATAGTGTGGGACTCTTGAGATAAAGAGAACAAGCTTTAAACAATACAGACTCAGGTAAAAGAATCAGCCGATCAGTCCATCATTGGTCTATCAGTTGACTCTCAACAAGTCTACTGCTCCATAAAACCTTTTATACTTTCACTTTAGACCAACAGTCCTACCTGTTACACTGCTCTTTATTTCATTTGCCTGCTCAGATTTAATTTCCCGAGTCCTTAAAACAGGTTATGACACTTGTACAGAAAAACCCCTCATTCTCCCTAAAGAATGGAAGAGGCCAGAACACAGTAGTGTCGTATTAAATCTGTTGAATAAAACCTGCTCCTAACTTAAGATCACCATTGCTGTCTATCACTTAATCCTTATTTTATTGGGATATTTCAGCGTACAAAAAGAAAAAGTGCTTTCCAAAAACTAAGTCAAAAAACCAATTGTCTTTTCTTTCTTTCTTTCTTTCTTTCTTTCTTTCTTTCTTTCTTTCTTTCTGTCTTTCTTTCTTTCCAAGGCATCGTCATAACTATTTTGGTAATTATAAAACACAAGAGTTTCGACTTACCATCCTCGCTGCAAAGGTACGAGTAGAAGCCCTCTGACTTGAGCATGATGAGGAGCGATCCCCATCCCAGCAGCACAGCGGAGAAGAGCAGATTCTCAATGATAGCAGTCACTGCCATCCACCAGCGCCTGGCAAATGCTGTGGCCAGGGTTGGAGCCATGGTTGATTGGAAAAAAAAGTTAAAGACAGAAGCAAAAAGCAAGAGGAGAGAGATTTAGGGGACAAAGAAAGAGAGAGGGAGAAAGAAGATGTAGCTGGAAGTGCAGAAAGAACCTCCCTGACTGACGCTCAGGATGAAGGATCACAGCTCACTTATCTGTGAAGAGAAATGAGCAAGAGGAGGGGGGGGAGGTCTTACAGTTAGCCTATCACTGTGACAGACAGATAGAAAGGCTCACTTCTTTTTATAGGATTACAAGATCAATCACTTAACTTTGAACCCAGCAGAGGAAGGCTGGCTGCACTGCATGGAAATCTGTGCTGTTTGTTTGTGGCACTTTTCTGATTAATTTAAAGTGTCTGTGTTAGTTAGATACAGAGAAGACGCTAAGCTCTACACCAACTAACATTAAGTGGTGAATGATTAACTTTTGTCATTGTAGGAAGATTATGACATCATGAGACAAAGACCTTGCATTACATTACAGGCCCTTATAATACATGCACCCATAGTGGACTTTCTGCTGATTTCTGGAAAAAGCAAACTGGTCTAAACTGGACATGCACAAAAAATGGGATTCTCTCACTGCCCATGGCCCCTCATGCCCATCCAACCGCAGCTTTTCTCTGCAATTAGTGTGGCACATCCACAGCCAGACAAACAATAAACAAATCAACGGGAACAGCCAGGCTTTCTCTCTGTCACACACACACACACACACACACACACACACACACACACACACACTGTCTGTTCAGCTAGTAGAATAAAAGTAGTTGCAGAGCTGCAGAGTTAGTTGTACGCCTCAATAAAAATGACCAAATCAAACGAGAATACACTCCTGGAAATCATTTAATTGTAGGAGCTGATGTTGTTGAATGCTTCATTTAATTAAAAAAAAAAATGAAATCACTTTCCCACTCCTGTTTCAGTCATCCACTCTCTATAGCACACTTCAAAGCAAATTACAGATCTGCTTTGACATGTTCACTGAGTCTTAATTTCTTACCACTGCGGCTCAGAGCTGCTCCTTCCAGCTTCAAAGTGATGCCTTCTGGTAGGCTTTGAGTAACCTGGTTTCTGTGAAAATCCACTTTTATATACCAGCGTCGCCCGCACATAGCGCCCCCTATGGACATTGCCATGCAGTATGTCTGGACTCCAACCAGCCTTTATTTTGTTGACACTTTTATCACCAGATAGTTATATAATTTAATAATTGTGGGTCTAAAGCCATTATTTTACTTTAATTAAATGTGGTGAACTATGAAGAAAAAAGAAAAAAACCTGTGTCTAATTAAACAGATTTTACAGGTAATGACAGGAAATATGACGGCTGTCTGTATCAGTTGATAAAGAATAAGAGCAGACTTCCCCTATTTCAGGATTTACGCCACCTGTTTACTTATGTTAATCTGAGAAATTAGAGTACAGAGAACATCAAAGAAGAATCCTGCGTTGAAGTCTTTGTTAAAATTCAGCAACAGTAAAAGTTAAAGTCTTAAATCTTTAAAGTTGATTTAACTAAAGCTTCAGCATAACCGACCAAAACCCTCTTGAGCAACTCTTGTATTGAGTGTTTTTGTACACATAAGACTTTAAATGAGCTGCAGTTTTTATTTCCTGTAAGTATTTGCCCCTTCTTAATTTTTATTATTGGTTTTGTTTCTTAGTTGAATTCTAAGCACACTGTTAAATGAAAAAACTGATCTGGTTAAAGCAACTTAACACACGTTTACACCGAAATGTCAGAGTTATATCAGCAAACTTGTTTTTCAGGTTGGACACTTGAGTTTGTCCCCCTGCAGTGGACTGTGATTCAGCTCTAATCAATTGGCCACTCAATGATTCAGTGACCACTGTGACCATATCTGCATAAACACTGATGTGCTGCTTTGTGTTGTTACAGTCTTCAGTATCTCACACTGAGAGCACTCTTTTAACCTTTCAACAGCAAAACAGTTAAACTAATGGGATCTCTCATCTCTAATTTTCAGCTCTAATCAGTCTGTTTGAATATCAGCAGGCCCATCACAAGGTGCAGGTACCCAGCCTTACTTTACAGTTATTGACAAACTCTTTACAGTCACATCAAGTACATTTAATCACTAGTGCACTGTTTTTCCAAGCCTTATCAAAACCATTTATTGACCTGCTTGCTTCTCACACCTTACCTTTGTGTCAAATAGTCTAATCATTTAGATATTGTTTACTGTCTCATCAAGGGGCCAAATCTGTATGTTTAACTGCTAATCTTAAGGTAAAAACCAAAAAAATATCGGGTATCTTTTCAATTGTGGCACACACAATGAGAACTTGCTGTTTTTTAATAGAATTAACGCCACCTTGTGGCTTTTAGTGATCCTGGCACAGGCATCCAGGTTCATGGTCCATATGCAAAGCTCAAGCTCAGCTAAAAAACAGCAAAATGAGTCAACTTTGGGGAATTTGTTCAATTTTTTTCACCTTTCATGTTCACAAAAATGCTGCTATTTACTCGTCTGTGGTATGTACCATGAGTACTGTTTATTCTCCAATAAATCTTTACTCTCTCTGAAATTTCTACTCATTAGTACTCATTTCTAAGCATAAATAAGTCTAGATTGTCTTAAAAATATACTCTCCTCAAGTGTTCACATCTAGAAAAGAAATCTGTGGGTGTCTAGTGGGACAGATTGTTCCACATCCAAACCCAGCACTGGTGTGCAAGCACAAGAAAATGAATTACTCACACTGACGCATGCCACAGTGCAGATGAATTTTTTTTTATTGCACATTCATACTTGAAATCCAGTATTTGGTAGCAGAAGTAAAAAAAATAAAAAAAAATAACAATAAAAGCCAACATAGTGCAATATGACAGAAAGCAGCAACAGAAACAAATCCCAACTGTAAAATGCTTTGTTTCCTTCATTCTAATGCATAAAGTCATCTTGAACATTATACATGATTGTAAAGTGGTATATATAATTTAACTGGCCTGGGCCGTGCTTGATATTTATGTACATGATCTCAATCAAACACACAAGTGACAGCAACTCCGTGTTTTATAAGTGCATCAGTGACCACAGTTATAATCTACACATATAATCTGTTGTCAGGGTCCCTCATCATTAACCTATAGCCAGTAGAACAAACAGCGACAGCAGCATCTTTATGGAGCTTTTAGTTCCTGGTGGTGTAAAAGAAAAGAAATATAAGTGAGAGATAAGGGAAGCCAGAAAAAACATTACAACATTACCCAAAAATCTATGAATCTTTCCTGTGATGGGCTGCAGGTAACAGTTTTCTAGAAATGCATATGTTTGATCTTTGAAAAAGGGAACACTAAATGTAACACCCGCCTTATCAACATTTACGCTTAGTCAAAAATTCCTTAGCAGCACTGCATCAGCAGTGCCACAAGGACACCTGACGCAAATGACTGTTTTGCTATACCCAATACAAACAGAGCAAAGACAGATAAACTTTAAAAACATTCCCCATGAATTACATAACAGTACTGAGGAAATGCTTTGTCCTGCAGTACTTGTGACCGATGGTGTGCCGCAGAGGATGGTATGCTGTGGTAGTAACCACACCAAATAAAAAAGACCACTGCTCTTGAAGAAATATTCCAGTGTTTATGCATGTTTGGTTACTGAAAATCATGCCTCCAAACATTTTGTATGTAATTCCAGGCACAGGATATGGAATCAGGAATATATTCAGACACATAATACATTTTAAAAAAAACAATCTATAATCTTTAAAAGTATAAATAGCAATCCGGTGTGTTAAAGTGTATTTTTGTGACAATGACATCATAGTTATTGTAATACAATGCAGTCCTTTGAAATAGTAATAGTGTCATAATACAAAAGTTGTTAAAGAAATTCAATACTCTGTGTGAAATAAATTTTTCAATCATGTATCCTACAAAATTAAGTTGCATTACTTTTAGGCTCTATTTGATATAAAGTTAAAGTGACAGAATACTGAAATCTTCCACCCAGTGACGCCCAGTAACAATGTTTACGTGAAAAAAACTGATCTTACCATGCGAGGAGTTTTCTGGAACTGAAAAAAACAAACAAGCGAAATGTTAAACTCATTTCTAATTAGTAGGTGACAGTGTATTAACATGAGAGACTGCCCCGCAGATCCTTTACACTGACCAACCTTTGATGGTGAAAGTGGTCTCCATGCCAGCATGGATATGGTCAGTCACATGACAGTGGAGCAACCATGTGCCTGGGTTTCCAGCCACCATCTCCACAGTCTGGAAGGTCCCAGGGAACAGATCAAAGACGTCTGCACGGTGCACAAGGTCCGTCTGGCACACATAAGAGTGGTGCAAAAAAAGGGGAACAGTGAAGAGGAAATATGAATGGAGATGTGATTCTTTCGGTGTGAAAGAAAGAATGGTCTTCCCGCTGCGAGTGACCACTAACAAAGCACAAACAAACCTTGTAAGTAAAGGTCTCTGCATGAAAGTGAACAGTGTGCATGTCTATTTCGTTGCCCATTCCGATGAGATACCAGTCAACTTTCTGGCCCTGAGTCATCTCCAATCCATGGAGGTTCCCATATAGCTTCCCATTGATCCCTGCAGCAGACACATTCACACACAGAATCAGAGACATGGTGCACAAGAGAAACAGGAAATGTAAAAGCAAACACACTTCAGCACACTCATCAAAAGCAAGCTGAGGAATAAAGGTCTGATTTTGTATCCAATACAGGACTTTATTTAATTCAACCTCACTTTCTCCTGTCTGATAAAGAGAAGTGGAATGTTCCTGCTTCCTGCTGGATCAACTTTAGATGATGTACATTGATGTTTGTAGGCTGAATTTGGGGATTTGCTTGTTATTATGTGTTATATGTAATTTATTTTATCTTATATAATTTGCATTTGAAACTTTTTGTGTTGTTTAACTCTCCTCAGAATTTTATTGGCACTTCTACACCGTGCCCTCATGGTACAGATATAAATTTGCAGTTGCCGAACTTAAGCATCTAGCTGCAGAAGAGGAGTGAGCATAAATGGAGTAACGTCAGGTCATTTCAGATGCAACTTTTCAAACAGCTCAACAGACACAAAATAAACTGTTTCTTTCACAAAATGTGTCTCTGACTAAACATCAGATTTAAATATTGATTCATTCCATCTTAAATCAACACAAGCCTGCTTGATCTCTGATCTGCTCGAGCTCCAATTTGCCTAAAAATTTTATTGTCGAAAGTTTGAACATGCATAATGAGTGCTGTGAAATTTTAGCTTCATATACCAAATGCTTTTCAAGATCATTTTTAAAAAAAATGGTCAGTCGACCTGCTTTTTGCACGTTGAAGATTGGCCCTGGGCCGGCTGTGTACTTTTGTTGTGCTCTGTCTTTAAGACTCCACAGGTCCTTCCCGATTGGAGACCAATCAGCCACCGCCAACTCTCCAATCGGGAAGGACCTGTGGAGTCTTAAAGACAGAGCACAACAAAAGTACATAGCCGACCGTAACAAAGATATTCACATTTGAACATGAATATCTCAAAAACGGTTTAATATAAAAGCATTCAAAAGTTCTTCCACAAAAGTAAAACTATTTTAGATAGTCCTGTCCAAATAGAACGGAGTTTCCAGATGGTGCTGTAGTTATAAGTTAGAAATTAATTTTGTTAAATTTGTGCATATTTTCTATTTTCGAGATCTGGGTCATTCCATTTAAAATCATCAGGTTTGCTGTCCTGATTCATTGTGGTGGCAACAAAAACGATTACATTTATACTAGGTTACATCAAGATCAACAGACATCAATTTATGTTTATCTTCTCTGGATATAATAGGTGAATATGTTTAATAAATCTAAAGTTTAATTCTTTGGCCAATATGGTTGTTTTTCTTTCTGTGGCCCCGTTCACTCTTCTTACCGTGCATCTTGTTACTCTCCTCAAACTCTTCATCTGGAGTGAAGTTCTCAGGGTTGAGACCAAGGTATGTTCTGATATTGTCTCCCAAATACCAGGACTTGTTTTCATCATGCACCATAAAGAGCAGTGCAAACTCCCTCTCCACGTCACCCCTCTCCCTATCGGAACCCTCCACACGCTTCAGAGTCCCAGGCCTGCATATCACCAGAGGCCCCAGAAGGCCGCTGTACAGATCCTGAACATAAACAAACACCTTATCAGAATAAAATCTAATACTTCAACTCCTGCTTAAGTATTCAAGTTGCCCTGTAAATGATGTGCTTCTATTTTTACCATAACAAAGTCAACAGTGGAGTAGTAGATATAAGAGATACAGTTAGGATCCGTGACCCCTGGACCAGAGCTTTCAGGAACATCCCAAATTACTTCGATAAAGTTGCCTGAAGGTTCAGAGAACATAAAAAGTATGAATCCTACTGCTTCTTAAAAAAGCCAGTATTTTTTATGCCCGTTTAAAAATTCATTTCTCACCGGGTTTGACAGGAATGTGTCCACCGCTGGCCCTAACGCCATGTGTGGTTATTGAGTATGGTCGAGTGGCATTGTTCTTGAATATAACCACGATCTGCTCTCCTACTTCTGCTTTGATTATTGGCCCTACAGGAGAAAATAAAACTCATGTCATCTTCATTCTTCTCTTAGTAAAAACAACATAAAGAACTGTTTACCTAGAATTTCCAAATGCTGCTGGTTGGGCTGCCGTTTCTTCTGAACACTGAAGGTGTCATCAGTATATTCTCTATACACCACCTTCTTATAGCGTGAGCCAATTCTGTTCTTTCCTTTTCCCACAAATATGCTGCCTGGACTGGGAGACAAGTAGCAATTTGGTTCTATTAACAAACAGTAATAAGTTATGGCATGAATTACAGGTTGTGGCTTCAACAATGAAACGTATCATCCTGCAATTATCTCACTCACACACCTGTCCTTTGGTGTGCTATGGTGTTTCTCCAGCTCCCAGTCTCTCTTTGGTGAATAGTCCCACTCTATTTCCTCAGCACTGATGAAATATCGCACAGTCTTGTTCAGCTTTGTGTATTTGTGATTTACTTTTTTTCCTGGGCACTCATTAACTTTATACCACTGCCTCATGCCACCTGAATAGTGGTCTATTACTGTGCAGCTCACCTCATACACACCTGTTTGGAGAAACAACAAACAAGAAAAGGTTAAGGATTTGGACACATTCATGGATATACAGTGCCTTAAAAACAGGGCCCCATGTGAAAAAGACAAACTTAATAAATGATTGTGTCGTTCTTCGCAGAATGAACTGCAATCAAATATTTGCAATAACTGACAATAAGTCTCTCACATCACTGTGCAGGAATTTCAGCCCACTCTTCTTTGCAGAAGATTTTTAATTCAGCTACATCGGACGGTTTTCAAGCATGAACAGTATGTTTAAGGTCAAGTCAAAGCATCTCGACCTGATTTAAGTCACTTAATTGGTCACTCCAACTTGCTGGTGTCTTTTGGATTGCCGCATAAGTCGAGTGAGCTTGAGCTCAGGGGAACGGACTGATGGCCGGGCATTGCCCTTGTGGATTTTTGGTAGAGAGCAGAATTCATGTTTCCATGGTTCAATTATGACAAGACGCCCAGGTCTGGAAGCAGAAAAGCAGCTCCAGGCCATCGCACTACCAAGAGCATATTTGACTGTTGGTGTGAAGTCATTTTGTCTCATCAATCCACAGAATACTTTCCCCAAAGTCTTTGGGATGATCAGGATGTTTTCTGACAAATGTGAAATGTGTGACATCCTGGAAAAGCCATCGAGGAGTAACTCCTGGAGTAATTTTGGTCTCGCCAGACACAGTTTTCGGAAGGTTCCCCTCTGTTCCAGGTTTTCTCTCACAGTGGTTCATGAGAATACTTCCAGACCGACAGACCTCAATGATTTTGTCTCTCAGCTTTTTTCTTTACACTGGGGCTTTAAGTGTAACTTTTTGAGATCTTTTAGCCTACTTCACTTGTGCAGACAGGTTCTGTGTACGTGATTCCTTGATTCAACAGGTCTTGCAGTAATCAGGCCTGAGTGTAACATGTGAAAATGAACTCAGCTTTAACTCAGGGATAATTACTTTCTACACAGGGCTATAGGTTTGGATAACTTTTCTCAATCAATTAATGAAATCATCATTGAAAAACTGAAATATTATATTTACTCGAGTGATTATTTATTTATTTTACTAATTATTAAAATATGTTTGATGAAATGCAAAAACATAAGAAACCAGGAAGGGGGAAAAGTACTTTTTCATGGCAAGATAGATATAAACGCACATAGTACAAAAAACCTTTGATTGCATGTTTATTTCAAATGGCACCTAGCTTATGTTTCCTGTCAGTTTGACTGCATGTATTTTGAGTCAAGTTGAAGAAAAGCATGTGACAAAACAATGCAATAGTAAACTGTCAATGATTACCACTGCAGGAAAAAAGATGTTGTTTGCACATTTTTTTGCAAAGCTTAGCTTCCTTGGGGTTTTCCTTGTTTTGCAA